GGGGAGAAACCTACCTTTTCGACCATCCCCCTCGTCTCGCCGTCGAGTTCGCTCAGCTTGGAGTTCTCGGGCACGATCTTTGCGGTGTCGATCTTGGGCGCCGACGTGACGATGTGCGCCCACCAGTAGGAGCCGCGGGCTTTGGCGAGCGTGATGAGGATCTCTTTGCTGCCGTCAGGCTTGGTCGACAGGATCCACGTCGAGTCGTCCGTCTGGATCGGGTGGGGGAAGTCGCCCTGTTCAGCGGTCAAAAAGTGTCAGTTCATCATGTTTCGAACAAGTAGCGCGGCACCGTGACAGTGGGTGAGTGAGTGCCTGAACGGGCTCGGAGCAGATGTGGTAGTAACAATGCAACACATCACAGCACAGCACGTACATCAATAATGGGCTCCTGCCCCTTGACAGCGACCTTGATGTGCGTCTTCTTCAATTCCACGACCAAGTCCCTCGCCTTCAGGTTCCCCTGTATGGGCACGCTGACCTCGGCCTCTTCGAGCGTCTGCGTCCACTTGTACGGCAGTTTCGCCTGCTCCTCCTCTTCGCGCTGGCGGTCTTCGGCGTCCTTGCGGGCCCGTTCGGACGGTGTCGGCGAGGGTGCGCGTTCGGCCATGTTTGTATATTCTGGCTAGACGAAAAGGGCTTGGGATGTGTGTGGATGTGGCAGCTAGGGGTTTGTGAATGATGGTTGTGGGTGGTGCGCTTTTCGAAGTATTTCGCTGGTCTTCCAGGTCGCGTGCGGAGAAACAGGCAAGGCAAGGAAGGCAGGCAGGTAGGTGGGGTGAGAGGTGACGAGGCTGAGATCATCGAAAGGGCCATGGCACGCCTCGGGGACACACACCTGCACCTTCCTGTCGGTCTATGTTCATGACTCATTCTTCAGTCTTAGTGGAAAGAGGCACTACGTCCTTGCCTCAAGGTGAGAATCCAGACATGGCAGCCACATATTAGGAACAGCGGCAAGCGCCATGGTCGCGGTACAATTAATTCACATTAACCTCTGACGGCACACATACGTTCAGAGTAGCGAAAGTATTACTGTTCTAAATGAGAGACGGGTTTCAATCCACTGTCCCAAGCTGTCAGCCATTCATAGCAAAACGCAGAAAAATTCATCATCCGGCCGCTTGCAGATTCAATTGATTCTTGTCCAAACATTCGTCAAACATTTATTTATACCCGTTGGTTCCTCCCTGCATAGCCGTCCGGTATCCTCGGGACAGCCGGCGTGTGTTGGTCTGGTGGTTGCATGGGATCAGGGAACCCAGCTTCATGTAGCATCTCTGTAAACGTGGTATTTGGTCTGCTGATTTCAACTCGACTCTCGGACCGCATGCGTTGTGACGGATTGAAGTCACCGTTGTATCGTGCCGGCGTCAGTGTGGGACCTTCATTCTCAGCCGAAAAGTCTGACCCTCCAGAGAAGACGCTGACTCCCCGTTCATCTCTCAGAGTACTGCTCATTCGGTTCGCCGCGGTAGGGCCGTTGCTGTTGTTGGGAGGGGATTGGAACGGACTGCCCATATTGTTCTTGTTGGTCAGCGGGAATCGCTGTGCTGCCATGCCTCTCAATGGTGCAATTGCCGCGGGATTGGGGTGTTGGATCGCTCCGGCAGGTGGACTGTAGACTTTAATACTTTCCATGCTGGGTTCATGCGCGAGCCTCCGCTCTGGCGTGACGGGTAAGCCTGCTGGAGCAACGGGGATATTGTTGGGAAATGGAGGCGTGGGCATCTTCCAGTGACTAGTAGCTGGTTGTTGGCTGTTTCGGTTGCTCCTTGTGGAGAACATTGACTTTGCTCGATCAGTGGTTTTGCGGAGGAAGTCCGTTCTTAGGCCGCCAGAGGCATCCAAAGGGATGGGATCTGAGATGGTTGGTTTGTAGATGGACGAACCACCAGAAGAGTGTCGAGACTTTGGTTTACGATGCCGTCCACTGCAGATGACCCACGCCAGCATCAGGAAGGCACCCACAAACATGCCAGGAAAGAAGCCGGCGAGGAACACCCCGGTGGGAAATTTGTTGCATTGAGGTTCAACCTGCGCTGCCGACACACTGACGCTGCTTGGGCTTGACGTCGATGTCGAGCTGGTATTTGAGGTAGTTGAAGTCGGCTTTGTAGATGAAGAGCTTGCCGACGAAGGACTGGATGTGTTGCCCGAGGATGGGTCCGTCTTTCCCACAATGCTCGTGCTCTGGATGATGCTGCAAATGGAAGGCCCCGAAGGTTGTTGGATGCAGGAATATCCGAACGGGCAGCATTTGTCTCCACACTGTGGCAGCTTGTCCCCAAGTCTCGTGGTGAATATCCCTGCCGTAGGATTCGCCGTTGCGTTTTGAGACGACACGTCGCAGGATATTATCTGGATGTTGTTGCATGAACTCGATTCCGGGCAACAGAGGGCCGACGACGAATTGTCGAGGGACACGCAGTTGTTTCCTGCGGGGCATTTGAAGTCGTTCGGAAGCTTGGAATCGACCGCCGAGCAGGAGCCATCGTCTCGCCGGGAAAGAGTTGAGTTGGGAACGATCTGGAAGGCAGACGAGGTGCAGAGGATGGCCGCTGCCACCAAGACGCGGACTGTACGAACGCGCATTTGATATTGCATGGCTGAAAACAGATATACAGGGATCGGCTTGCCGTGGAAAAGCGACGAAATTGAAATTAAGCAGCAAACAGATATATGCAAAAAGATGTCTTCACCAAAGAGATCACAGGGTATAAGGACAAAAAGGTCACCAGGACAAGTATTGTCACTCTTTTGGAGTTTCCAAGAATAGGTGTTGCAAACGAAGAAGAGAGAAGAAAAAGACTCTCAAAGCCTGTGTCGATCCACGTTTTGACAAAGAGAAGAAGGGATGTACTCACCCATTGATCGACCCGACAAAGGAAAAGACTCATTATAGAACAAAAAAGAGGGTGAGCCCCGACGACCGGGATCTGGTCGCGTGTCTCTTGTGTGCCAGAGTCAAGGCGTGAACTCTGCAGCCTTGGGCAGCCATGATGCCAATGTGTCTATGAATATGCAGAAGTCACTGTGGTGGGATCAAGAAAAGCTTCGCCGAGAGCCAGTGGCTTGCCGCTTTGCCCTACGACACGCAACCTTTTGCTGCGAGGTAGACCGCGACAGTGCGAGGAAAGAACCGAAGGAGCTGAAACGATAGGCTCTAGAAGCTTGAGAAGAAGGTCAAACGCGTTGGGGGATGGTGTGGTGGGAGGATGGGGGTGGCAGAGGGAGTTTCAAGAACGAGGCTCAGCGTCTGGACGGTGCCATGTGATTGGTCGAGATCTCTACCAGGGCACTAGTCTCTTTTTGGCGACTGCGGTCTTGTTCACCTCAAAGAAATTTGGAGCATTGGGACTTGCACGCTCGTCAATCTGTTTCCATGGTCTCGGGCACTGAGACTTGCATTGCTCCATTCTACCAGTCATGATCACAAGACCTCCGGCAAGGCCGCAGTCACTCCTGCGAGCCTTTGTCAAGCGAGCAAATGCCACGGTATGTACAGACAGATCAAATGTCTTGCTTTCTCCCAAAGAACTCGGAACCGACTGACCTTGCCTTGCCGTCTCACAGCCGTCCTCTTTCCTAAAGCGACAGGTCCGCAGAAAACACACCGTCCCCGTGTGGGCCAACCAGACCAAACAGGACTTTTTCGCACGCCACGGCGTCCCCGGCTTCCTCAGTGCAGAGACCTACCAAGAGACCTATGTGAAATACACCCAACACCTGTGCGACCGGCTGAACGAGCTGGTGTTGGGCACCGCGGATGAGTCGTCGTCGACATACGACCTGCACGCAAAGTGCGCCCACCGCTCCGATCGGGCGCACCTCTATAATCTCGCTGCCATGGTCGAGTTCACGCGGTTCTTTTGGGAGTACCTCACCGAGAACGAAGATCCGGCTATTCACAAGCCAGGCCTAAACACCACGAGGAGCATCGAGGCCAGCTTCGGCAGTGTGCAGAACCTCCGAGAAGAGATGCTCGAGACCGCCGACGCCATGTTCGGGAACGGATTCGTGTGGCTGATGAAGGGCAAGAACGTGGGCGACATGCGTATTCTGGCCACGTACAACGCCGGCTCCCCATACCCCGACGCGGCACCGAGACGGGACGACAAGGACATGGCGACCTTTGACGGCCGCATCCTCTCCGACCAGCTCTCCGGTCGAGGTGGGCTGGGGTTGCCGAGCTTGGAAGAACGAAACATCTCCACCGGGAATTCGACGGCGGGCTCGTTTGGTGACTTTAGCTCTTCACGGGCGAATCTCTACGCCGGTGCCCTGGACATGCAGCCCATCCTGTGCGTCAACGTGTGGGAACACCAGTGGCTGAGAGACTACGGACTCCTCGGCAAAAAGTGGTATCTAGGCGCCTGGTGGGATCGCATTGATTGGCAAAAGGTGGAAAGTCAGCACGCCCTGTACGAGACGGGCGGGGAATGGAGTGACTACTGGTCGAGCGGCAGCAAGTCGCCGTATGCGACCACGGGCGGGTCGAGTGTTCTGGATGCTTTGAGGAGATAGGGGAGGGGGTAAAGGGGCCTGGGCTTGTATGAATATAGGGAGCTCCAAAAACTTCACGTCATTGTAGGACCAGCGTATAAGCCATCTGTTCGACTCTGTATCTAACCCACGCATGGGCTTTCCTTCCTGAAGTTCCACGTACCGCCGAGAGCCCCTGCCCTGTCCTTTAGCTTTCTTCTTGTCGACCAGACACTCCTGGCATTCAAGTGCACCTGGTGATCTACAGTGTGCAATGGCACGCGCTTTAGAGCACCTCCTCGACTCGTCATCTCTTGCAAGAGGCGAGCGAGCTACTGCCTCGCCAATGCTGTCAAAGCGGCAGGTCCAACTCAAGTCGCCAGCCCAATGGAGGACTCAATGCTGTAGTTGACGGATGCAAAATTGAACCACTGACTGTGCTGTTGATTCCACATTACCATGGGAAGGCTCAGGACTCGGACTCGTAGACCGGGCCAAAGCCACGGCAATGTTGCCAACGTGCAAAAATCACTCCTTGCCTGCCTGACAAGCACTGCTGATCGCTTCGGCGATGAGCTTCCATGCGCTGTGAGGGGTGCATACTCCAGTCCATGATGTGTCTCAAAGGGTGTCTCGTCCTAGCGGGCGAAACTTGTCTTGGGCATCGCCGATGCTTTCTTCAATCCCAGTATCTAATCATTCCATCCAAGCCGCCCGTTGCGACTTTACTGCTCTCCTGCTGATGCCACGCCACACACGTCACTGCGCCCAACCCTTCTCCGCCGGCCTGAATCTTGTGCCACATCTTGCCCGTTTTCCAATCCCAGAAACACACGAACCCACCTGAATCGCCGCTCGACACGATCCCGCCGTCTGGGGATATGGCCACGTCGATCGCATACCCGCTGGTGTTCATGCCCGTGAATCCCTTCTTGCGGTTCTGTCGGAACTTGTCGCCCGCGGCATACACGACGATCTGGTTGTCGGCAGATTGGAATGCGACGTACTTGCCCGAAGGATGGGGTGCGGCTCGCACAAGCGCGTACATGGACGGATCAGCAATGAACTTGATGGGCACTGGAATGCCATACTCCCACGCGCGGAGGGACTTGTCGTCGGAGGTGGAGATGAATCTCCGACCCTCGTCGACAAATGTGAGTGTGTTGATGGCGCCGAGATGGTGGTCGTACTCTTGCGTCAACTCGCCGGACCTGACGTCAAACTGGACAATCTTCTTGTCGGCCATGCCGGCGATGAATTCGTTGCCTTCGGGATGGAAACGCAGGGTGTGTGGTGTTTTGCCCGTGGTGAACCGCGATATACACTTTCCAGTCTCGGTATCCCAAAGCTTCATCTGGCGGTCATACGACGCTGATAAAAATGACCGCCCGGTGGGGTGGAAATCTGTGTCTGTGATCGCCTTGTTGTGGCCTGAAAATGTGCGGAGGAGTGTCCGGTCGTGGTGAGCATCCCACAGTGCGAGCTTTGCATCCGCCGACGAGGACAAGAGCAGGTGCGATGACTTGGGGATAAATCGTAGAGAGGTGATGGGTTTCGTGTGGTACTTGTAGACATGTATCAGCTTCTTCGGCACGTAGTTCTGTATCGAACCCGGTTCTTTGCGCAGGTCGACGTCCAGGTCCTGTGGTACGTGCATGTACGTCCGTCCTTGGTAATCGAATTCTGAAGCACCATGGAACTCGGTCGTCTCGGCACCATTTAAATCGTCCGCGTAGCCAGTGGCCTCTTTGGGCGGCGCAGGCAGTGGCGTGGGAACAAGGCCCTCTTCCACCCACTCCTCGTCAGAGGCGAGTTCCTGATCGGCCGCGGCCTCGGCTTGCTCGTAGGACACGTCGTCGCTCTGATATTTTGCCCAGGGACCAAGGTACGCGCCCTCACCGTCGACGATCCTGCTGTCTCCCTTTTTCTGCCTTTTGGACCGGATCGCGGCACTCTCTTCCTTGGAGTAGCGCAGCTGGACGACATCTTTGCCGCCGTATTTTGCGACGGCCGACTGATCGCCCACAAAGGCTCCGTTGAGTGAGGGATCCCTGGTGTACCCGAGACTCTGGTAAGTGCGGTGTTGGGTCTTGAAGGTGGCTTCGGACATGGACGTCTCCTCGGCGTTGCCGGTGAGCACGTTCTTGCGCTTCAGGACGTTGCCGGCCGTCGACTTAAAGGGGTTGGAAGGTCCCTGTGCGGGGCGGGCGAGGTTGTCGTACGTGACATTATAGGTGAGGGCGTTGCTCGAGGGGTTCGCCAACATGACTTGCATCTGCGACACGTCCTGCGCAGCGTTAGATGGACCACCACGTCGCCCAACGAATGAAGACCAAACCTCTGTCGAGACCTCGGGGGCCGCGTTCACCCCGGACTGTTTCTGGGCGGGGGCGCGGGTCGCGGGGCTCTTCTCATCATCGCTCGAATCATACGCGGATCCCAGGAGGGCGGACATCTTGACCGAAGGCCTTTTGGAGGCCTAGAAACCGGGTGAAGCAGAAGCGGCCTTATTGTCAAATCGTCCTGGTCGTCCCGGTCTCCAGACATGGGAAAAACTTCGGCACCAGGAAAATGGCGTCGGCCAAGGCGCACATGTCTCGGAACACTTGCCTTTCTCGACAACTACCATGCAACCAATGCGACGCATGTGTATCAGGAGCAGCCGAAGAATTCTATTAGATGCATCTATCATTCTCTACCGTACTGTTCGGTGCTACGTGCGATTTTCATGTTTACAGTCTCTGAGAGGCAATTGGGGCGGTCACAGACTCAACTGTAGGACGGAAAGATGGTGGCTTTCTCTCATTTTCTGCAAACCAGGAGTGATGAACCATGCTTGCAACGCCGCGCAAATAACTCTACCACAAATCCTCCACCGGCCTAAACAGATCGGCCTCTTCTTTCTCATCGTATCTCGTGTCTCGGCTGTACAAGTCGAGTGGCAGACAGATAAACCAACCACATAGATTTAGGAAATTCGTCCTTCCAAAATTTTGACCATGTGAGAGTCTTCGGCCTTTGCCTGCCATCGCTTCTTGCACCGCCCTTTGTGCAATAAATGAATCACTAGTAGGACCATCGCTCTGTTCTTTGATCATGCCGACAACCCAGGCAGGAAAGGCTTGTGGGATTGATATCGCCACTGGCCCGTGGCTCGTTCTCGACCATTGCCACTTTCCATATGATCAGCCTTTTTCCACCACTAAAGCTCACTGTTTGGCTCTCGCGATGCGATTGCGCAGCAGCAAACGATCATCAGGAGTAACTGCCGTGCCTCATGACATGTGACATTTCTCCACGTAGTCAGTTGGACTCATCCCGGATCAAAGCCACAATCATGCTGTAAAGATAGAAGAAAAACATGATCAAGTGGAAACCAAGTTTGATGAATGATTCCTGTCAAGGGTTCAGCATTAGTAAACGAGACACGTCATCTGGCCCAGAGGCTGTACATGCCTTTTTATGGACATTCAGCTTTCGGAAGATCTCTGTGGCGTCAAGTAGATGCTGGTTCTCGATGATTCTACCACGGATTGTGTTAGTGCCTGCCACGCAGTGCAAGCTTTAAGATCGGTATGGGACACCCACTTTTTCGCATTGAACGCCAGGAGCGGCAAATTCAACAGAATGGCCAACCAGTATCCATTGATAAGGAAGAGGAATGTCAAGAAGGCGTGGACGGCAGCTTCGGGAACAATGTAGGTGTTGAGACGGTTGCAGAGGTCGATCGGGTTGATGTAGTCACTGAGGAGAGTCAGTGGGGATTGTCTTTGGAGCTGGGGAAGTATTCTGCCTACCACTCGAGATCGCTGTACATGATGGTGAAGAAGACTTGCAGGAAGAGGTTGACGGCATTTATTAGGACGGCGAGCAGGTATAACCACGCCTCGCCCGACATTTTGGAGGTGTATCTTGACTACAGCAGTGGCAGTAGGATAGAAATGCACAAAGCCTAACCGGAGACTGTCGCGAGCTCAAACACAGTGTACAGAAGCCGCGAGGTGCGCACAGAGAGAGTCGGGGTCGAGCTCTGCAGGGCTGGGCAGGGCGGGGATGAGGCAAGGAAGGGAAGAAGGCGAGAGCACGGCGCAGACCAAGCGCAGGTGGAAATTTACGTAGTCGCGGACGGTGGGATCTTGAAGGACAAGCTGGCCTTGGTGAAGGGTTGAGTGTGTGGAGTGAGGTAGGCGCAGGATGGTGGTGGGCAGAAGGGCAGAATAGGTACCAGCGGCAGGACGCAAGTGCGAAATGGTCAATGAGATCAGTCGTGGGGAAAGACGCAAAATTCACCGAAATTCCAGGTTGTTGGCAGCTGCGGGTTGGATGGAGCCGCGGACTGTTTGCCTCGCCGTAGTTTTTGCACGATTCGCCACATGGAATTCACCGTATCAGCAGTTTCATTAACAACTTCCACTCGCAGCGTGACTTGAAGAGTAGCGTCTTTCATCTCTCGCCACTGGCTGACAATTCGTTTCACATTTGTCATCCGTTACATATCATGAGGGATTGCAGAAACATCATGTCCAGCATGCTTTATCTTGGTGGTCCTTAGATGGGTACGGTGTGGCAAGCACCCCAAATAACGCAATCCCTATTCCCTCCGAACCAGTTCTAGATCAGTCCACCGAGCCATTCTCAAATCTGGAAGCAGCAACAAGCAACATGCTGCAGGGACCCAAATTGTGTAAAAATCATCGGATATGTATCTCCATCTCACAGTGCACAGTCGTATGTTCATCGTGAATCATCAGTCATTGAACGTGGGTATCGTTCTAGAACAAAGGTTTTCTGGAAACTCCTGGAAACTTTCGCTTGAAAAAAAAAAAGATCCACCGAATTGGTTCCACCTCGTATCTATACCTAACATTCCTATGTTGACAAGCCTCCCGAGGCCTCCTCACCTCCTGGGCGCAGTCGAAGACCATCTGGAAATCGAAGTGGATCTGGACAGGTCGACTCGCAGTCCAAGGTCAAATGGAACCGTCGCGACACTTCTATCACCCATAGTTGATGCTGCAATGCAGGGTTATAGGTGAAGGCGTCGACACCACCACGCTGGTTGATCATGGTCCTAAGCGCATCTGCGTGGAGACGGACCTCGCTGGCGTCCCCAAAATCGGCTGTGTACGCCACCAGCAGGAGAACGGCCTGGATGTTGGCGTCAGAACTGGCAGCTCCTGGCATCTGGAGGCGATTCCATAGAATGTTAGTGCCTCGACCAAGATTTCTTTCTGCTTCCACCTGGTCTTGAGGATTTTCCTCGGCAACTGATCGCGCTCTCCGGACTGCATAGGCATAAGCGAGGAGCAGGTGTCGAGAAACTTCGTTCTCAAGCATATATACCAGTGCTGATTCCAACATGTCACTTGATTGATAATGATCGCAAAATGTGGCTCTGACTGTGGGACACAGAGTTAGTATCGGAGAAAAATTTTGAACCTGCACATGCACTGCCCATTCTTGATTGCGCTGGAGCATGTTTGGGGCTTTCCAGAGGGTCACTCACAAAATTCTAGGACAGAGTCGTCCGTAGAGGCGGTTATCTGAGATGTGGATGGTAGCATCTCAAGGGCGGAATCTGCGGCCGCTTCACTTGTCGAGGAAACGGCTTCTTGTTCGTCGCTCGTTGTCCGACTGGGTGGTTCTGGTCTGCCAGGTATGGAAGGCGCCGGCGAAATTGACACCGAGCTGGCACTGCTGGCTGACGAGGTTGCGACTTCTGCATCTCCTCGCGGGCGTCTGGTCCATTCAAAGTAGCGAGTCTGGCTGGACCGACGGAGAAGGCGCGAGCGTGCCTCTCGACGCTGCGCGGCCGAGTGATATGCGGTGTGCCGCTGAATGGCACTCCTGACATTGGGGTTCTGGCTGTCGACAAATTCGATAATGTTGGAGGATCGGCGTGAATTAGGATTGGAATCTCTGCTCTGGCTCGCCCGTGAAGTATCTTCTTGCGGAGGATCACCACTGGATGACATGTATGAAAGAGTAGAAAAAAGAGACGGTTTTGGTAGGAGAAGAGAAAGAAGAACGATTTAAAAGAAGGAAAGAAGAAAAATGTCTGGTGATAGAATCATGATATCCTACCTCGCAATGCTGGAAACAAGACTTGGAACGAGTAGTTGACACGTCAGGGATATCTCGTGGACTCCAGTCACCAAGACTTTTTTTTAATGGCCCTTGAACGGGCGTTCGCCGTTTGTCAGTGAAGATGGAGAGTGCGCGAAGATACCGTCAGTGCTGCAGCAAAGGCGAAAAAATGCTAAAGGCGGACAAAGTGATAGATAGAATCGAGAGGGGGAGCAAACCCCGGGGTTGGAAGTTGATGCCAAACCCCCATGGCATTTTTATACAGGTTCTGGAACGTAAGAAGCGAGAAAAAAAAAGCAGGTCCCAGCGGGTCCCCACCAAACGGCTAACCTAATCGTTGCGAGATGATTCGGTAAGGATCTATAGAGGATGTGGGATTCCAGAACTTTTGGTATAGGTCAGAATGGAGGCAAGGCTAGAAATGCTTCCCTTCTCCACACCACTAAAATCTCCGACACTGTAAAATCCTCTCATGGTACCCTCTAGACGATGCGAAATTGTCCGGGAGAAATGGAGCATAAAAAGAGTGATGATCATCGAGTGTGGGTTGATGTCGGTCCAAGAACTCTTTGTAAACTCGCTCGAGGTCGACAGGGACCTCACATTGAAGCACGAGCGATTAAGGAGGCGAAGTGGGATGCGCGAATCAGCGAACCAGCCAACGGGCGCACATGGATTCGGATCACGCGGACAGGGCGATGGTGATGTCGGAGGCAATTTTTTGAGGCTGTGACTTAATAGGTATATCAGGGAGGCGAGCCTTGTCGCGGTGATTGGAAGGAGTTGAACAAGGATGAGTATCAATTTGCTTCCGAGCGAAGAAGGCGGCCTTGGCACTCCGGGGCCTTATCCGGTCCGGGGTTACATGAACCTCCGTCGTGACTCGTGAGACGCACGACTTCTTCGCCACCCTGATGCGTCGATCCGACTTCCGACTTACCCTTATTTCAACTACTGCGTCGCGCGGTTTTCTCTCAGATCCTGCGAGGTACGAAGCCCGAGTACGATTGACAAGTGCGAGGGACCCTGGCGCAACAACTGAGCCACAGAGCGTGGCTGTCTCCTGATTGCTCGGATATTAGCAGACACCGAGGTTCGGATTATGAATCCTTGCATGAGATTCCGAATCCAACTGTGAATGACACAAGTACCTGTATGCGGAACGTCCTCGTGAGAATGCTCCGACCCATCTTCTGGCGTCTGATAAAAGCTAAGCCGGCTTCGTAACAAGTTAACATCCTAAAGCATGCAGGTTTTGGTGGAGTTTGACGGCAAACCGCCCGTTTCCCGTCATCGGCCGAGAGCGATGCTTGTCGTCGGCTACCGCACCATGGGAGCAACATGTGCGAAGGCCAGACTTGGAAATTCAGACAGGATGAGTTGGTGTGAGGATCACTTTGATAGTTCAAGGAGGAAGGTGGTGTACCGAAAGAGACAGTGCCCTGTTGCTGGCTTCTTTCCTTCCTCGTATATCCTGCCACAATTGTTCGAAGGTAAGACCGACAATAAGCGAGACTTGCACCCAGTGAATGATGTTATGCACCTCTTACAAAAATCTGACCGAGTTGCAGACGAGGCTGTAACCCAAGGTGCGCCGGTAAGTGCGTCATTTGTCAGACACTCCTGGTGCTCTCCAAATTTTGTGTAAGCAGACAACTTCAGACTTCAAGCAACCCTCAAAGAAGCTGCGGCACAGGAGATGACTCCGACCAAAAACAATCGACAGCCAGATTTCCCAACTGGTCTCCCACGTTGGTACTCCCTGACCGGAAGAGGACTTAAGTACGTCTGAGCAAACGGGAAGACCTGTTTTCCCTCTCCTGTGGTCGATTGCGATGAGAAATACGCAACACCAAGCTATATATCTCGTGCAAAGTTGGGAAAGCCACGGAATGAATACCGCAGATATCGGAAGCTGGAAACAGCAGTTTGGTTCGGCAATCGCCACTCCATGTTGACACGTTTCATTCTATGTCTTATTGTTTAGACCTGAACTGCATACACCTTTCCCATCTCGTTATTCGTGTCTGCATACACCTCAGAGGCAACGTGTCATTTCCTCGCCTTTTTGCCCCGTTTTTTGACGTTGGTGCCATTCGCATTCTCCAGGCCGGTTGTCTCGACAATCTCAAACCCAGAATCCGATATTTGACTCGAGCTCATATCCCGCACTAACGGCTTGTCTGAATCAATGGCTTCTTCGGTGGGTTCCAGGGGCGCCTCGCTGTTTGGCACATCCTCGTCTTCAGCATTCGGCTGCGTGCTCTTCGAAAATGGACTGATGGCCTTGCGGCATAGCCAGATGGGGAGGCGCAGAACAGCTGTATCCCACACAGTGGGCTTAACGATCTCGTCGAGATCCAAGAGATATTCCTGCGTGTTCCCGTCTTCGTCCTCCTCTTCCAAGTATACGTTGCCCCCCGCGTCGACTACCAGGATCTTCCCGTTTTCTGCAGTGACACGCCGTCTGTCCTGCGATGTGGATTGCACCGCTTTGGGAGGAGGTGCAGAAGCAGGCTTGCCCGTCTTTTCCTTTTTATTTTGTCGCTCCATTTCTCGCCGCTGCCGTCGGTTCAGGTTGGCCATCGGATCAGGCTCTTCGATGGTGGGAGCGACTTCGACCGGCTCACCGAGACCTGCAATGCCTCTAATCCCAGACTCATCGCCCCAGGCTTGTTTCTTTGCGTATCGGATGTACCTCTCCATGAAGTCCCGGTGTCTGCGGTAGTTCATTGTCAAAACAAAGTAGTGGACAGCTCCGCCGCCGATCAGAAACAGTCCCAGTAAAACAGTCCCCAGCCCAGGACGGTATCTTTGGTAGTAATAGCCTGTCCCACGCCAGGACGGCCAGCCATGTCCCTCGAAAAAATCATATCTCTCCCTCAATGGGCCTCTCAGAATGGTCCCGATCAGGGTGAGCCGACTGTAGCGTTCCTGCGCATCTTTCACGACGCGTGAAATCTCTCGCTGTGTCGGTCCCTTTGAGACGTGTACTGCGGGCTTTTTCTTGCCACCTGGCTTTTTGGGGCTCGCTGTCGACCGCGAAGCTATGAAGGAATGCTTGACTTTGTCCGGATGGAGAGTACGGGACTTCTTCTTGAGGGCGGCACTGATTTGGTCGACCGTGGCATGAGGTGATACACCGAGAACATCGTAAAATGTGACCCCAGGGCCTTCAGTGGTTTCCAACTCGTCGTGTAATTTGAACAGCTCGTAGTCTTCAGCCGACCATGCAACACACACGGCAACCAGAAACAGGAGGAAAAGGATTCGTCGCATCATCTTCACCCACACGACTCCCCCACGACAACAGTCACTGGTGGCACACGCAGTCCGAGAGGATCTTATGATGAAGTGAGGCAAGGAATTCGATGGTGACGGGGAATGGTGCCCAAATACGTGGGCCCAATTGACGAAGGTTCCGAGGAGGATGCCGCAGCCAACTTGCAGTAGCTTGACTTCCAGCCAAGGGAGGTAGAGTTTTGCCAAAGTGTATATATCGGAACGCGGACCTCCTCTTTTCTTTCCTTTTTCCTTCTCCCTAACGCCTCGCCTGTCAAGAGTGAGAGCGATGGCAGTGCCGCGACCTTGAGCCTGCGGGAGGCAGGTCGAGGATTCTTCGTGGAAGAGAGCAGGGGTGGAAGCTGAGGAGAGTTGCTGATCTTCCAGGTTCGCAGTCTCTGTGGTGTGTCCATTATACACATCTGACGGTGCCGACGATCCACTCGGTGTTGGTCGCGGTGGTCGGCGGAACATTAAAAAAAAAAACGGCTTGTAGATCCTATGACACGTTGCAACTCTGACGCGGCGAAACGAACGCATGAGCGAAAGAACAAGAAA